TACATATACAATCGTAAATCTCTCTCATAAAGGTAACTTACGGTTGGCTATTTGAATCACAATTATACTAAACTAAAATAACAGAACAAAGTGCATGCAATATATATATATACAATGAGATAAGTCAAATTGTTAGTAAATCCGGATTTTCCCATTCCTTATTTCGGCAACAGAAAATGTAATATGTAGTTCTAATAGCAATAGTCATCATTTTCCTAACGCAGTACATTTGGTGGTTTTTGTCAAGACCAATACTATCTAACATGTCTAAAAATGTATAACATTCTTCTGCAAAAACACCTAAAGAGCTGATGGAGAGATTTATAAATTTAACTTGGTTAAAATTTTTACCTAGCTGTCTCAATAATTCTCTATATTTATCCTTCTTCCGTTTTACATTGTTTTTGAGGTTTGTCTCATAACCAGTGGTGAGTTCAACCACATATAAGGAACCATTAGAGCACGATAATAACAAATCTGGGCGATACGTATCACCAGCAAGTATTGAAGGGCTTTTGAATCCATTTAGATCAGCGTAGAGAGTAGAACCGTCAACAGTTTGTAACTGATGAGCAAGAAAGTTCAGGACTGAATTGTGTCTCCACGTAAATCGGTCGAGATAAAACTGACATCCAGCTACTATGTGTAGTAATGTTTCAGGGCTAAGACAAAAAGAACAGTCTGAATTTGAAGATATTGCCCATCTGTTTAGGTTTTTACGCGTCGGAAGAGAGTTGTTAATGTAACGAATGGTAAAGTTGTAAATGTTTTTCGGGAGCTTTGATTGGGCGACGGACCACCCCTTGCTAAGCTGAGGTAAAGCGAACTTCGTGACGCTGCAGAAAAAGGATCCTTGACTGGTTAATTGGTTTAGGAGTTTGTTTTCGTGTCCAGAACGGAAATCTTTGAGAACTTCCTTAGTAGAGTTATAAGCGTCATATTGGATATTAGTATGGTTACTGGTTGCTTTCCACAGGTCGTTAGTTGATTCATTAGGAGAAGATTTTAAAGCTTTTCGGAGGACTGTTTGACACTGGATAAATTTTACAGATGGAGGATAAATACTCAGGCCAAATTTATTATTTGTTAGAAAGACAGTACTTAGTGTTCCTGATATTGGTACTTCAAGCCATCTGCGGATATATTTGTTGGCAACAGAGTCGATATTTTCAGTAACCCATGTTTTAGAGAGTGTTGCGACGGTGAAGTGCCAGGCTAACTTGGACAAGACGTAGCGACTGTAGAGGAGCAGTTTATTTTTGGGGTGTAGTGGCTTTGAGTCAATATCAGACATTAGTTCGTTAAGTAGGGTGGTTAGTTCAGTTTTGTGATTATCATTCGACATGTGGAAATCAAATCATAATAATAATAATAATAATAATAATAATAATAATAATAATAATAATAATAATAATAATAATAATAATAATAATAATAATAATAATAATAATAATGATAATAATAATAATAATAATAATAATAATAATAATAATAATAATGGAAACTTTATTACTTTCAATAATATATATATATATATATATATATATATATATATATATATATATATATATATATATATATATATATATATACACTACAATGATAAACCTCTCTTTACAGGTAGTTTACCAGTGTCTACTTGAATTAACACTCTACATAATAACAACATTAGTATGACATTAGTTGTGGGTTATCCCATTCTTTGTTACGCTTACAGAATAGATAATACGAGGACCTGATACATATGTTAATAATTTTCCGAACATAGTACTTTCTACATTGTTCATCAAACTTTAGATCCTTCAGCATTTCGGTGAAATCTAGCGACGGGTGGCTGAAAACTCCTAATGAGCTAATCGATAAATTTACAAATTTTACTTTTTCATAATTTTTGAGCTGTTCGTTAATTAGATCTTGATATTTTTGTCTTTTTCGAGTTGCATTAGTGAGGAGATTAGATTCAAATCCGACGGTAAGTTCAAGTATATAAATACATTTGTTTTCAAGTGTTATTAAAAGATCAGGGCGCAATTCATCTCCGGTGATAACAGATGGACTGATATAGCCAGGAAGGTCAGCATAAAGGTTGCAATGGTTCACAGATTTAAGTATGGATGCTATGAAGTTAAGCACCGAATCATGACGCCACGTGAAACGTCCTTCATTTAGGTAGGTCTTGCATCCAGCGACGACGTGAAGAAGTGATTCTGGATTCAAACAAAACGAACATTCGGATGTTGGTGATATTCCCCATTTCAGAAGGTTTTTGCGAGTCGGAAGAGTGTTATTTATATACCGGATAGTGAAGTTAAATATATTCTTAGGAAGTTTACTCTGAACGGAGGACCATATAGAGTTGAATGAGAGTGTAGAATGTTTAATGACATTGGAGAAAAATGAGCCTTGTGAAATGAGGTGGTGTTGAAGCTTGTCTTCATGTTGTTTCCTGATGGTGTTTAATACGTCCTTGGTGTTTTTGTATTTGTCATATTGTACATTTTTGTGATTGCTAGTATCCTTCCAAAGGTTATTGATCGCTTCATTTGGCGACGACGTTAGGGCTTTCCGAGAAACAGTTTGGCATTGAAACAATTTGGTTGAAGGTAGAATAAATTATATTTAATCCAAATTTATCGTGAGGAAGTAGGACGTTACTAAGGGTTGCAGAAAGTGACAGTTCGAGCCATTTTCGGATATATGTGGACGCGATACTATCTAGTTTATCATTAACCCAGGTTTTGCCTACGTCAGAAACAGTGAAGTGCCAAGAGATTTTGGAAAGCACATAACGACTGTATAAGAGAATTTTGTTTTTCGGATGTAATGGTAGACCATCAATTTCATTCAGGATATTAGTAAGTGTGTCATATACTTCAGATTTGTGATCTTCGTCAGATATGTTGTAGCCCACGTGCAGGCCCAAGGGAAGAATAGCGGGCCTGCAAGCAAGGCCTGGTATTTTGTACTTTCTGCGTTCGCCCACGAACGCGGCATTCTGATTGACTGTCTGCTGTTAGATTCTATAATTAGATAAACGAAGTATTCATTACAAAAGCTCTCGAGCAAATCGAATTTGGTCACTTTTTCAATTAAAAACGAAACAAGAACAGACTGTCAATTGTTTACTTGGAGGAAGAGATGTTTTCGCCGTTATGCCAACGGGATATGGTAAAAGTCTCTTCTTTCAAATATTTCCGATGGCAATGAATTGCAAGAAGATAGCGCAAGCGATGGAACCGAACGCTATCGTTTTGGTGATCTGCCGTTGACCAGCATTATAGGGGATCAAATAAAGGAAGGAGAATCGTTGGGTTTGAAGTGTGTCACTCTCGATGAATTTCTGAAGGCTAGTGATCGTGATACACACCAGGTAGTGTTTGCGTCAGCTGAACAGGTTCTCAGCAAGACATTTACTGAAATTCTTAAAGACCGGTCATCAAGATTACACAATGCGTTGGACTTGGTAGTTGTTGACGAATCTTACACAGTTTTGAGATGTGGACAGAGAAAAGGTTTAAAAAAATGTGTGTACCTGTTTACTTTGCTCAAATACACAACTGTTTTTATCAACATATGACATTCATTTGTGTGTATTTTTATAGCTGCAAGAATGCAAAAAGCTTTAGAGCAGCCTATGGTGATCTATCGATTTTGAGATCATTATGCAAGGAAGGTACGTTTACTTGTACCTAATATTGAAAATTAGTAATATATGGCATGTTTCACATTGATTAAATTACTTGTATATAAACACTTACATATGTACTTTTCTCACACAACAGGAACACCTGTCTTAGCCTTGACTGGTACAGCAGACAATCATACACGAGAAGTTATCATGTGTGACCTTGTAATCAATTCAGATGTTCTAGAAGTATTTTTAAGCCCAAACAGAACAAATTTGCGGATAAATGTGATCAAAACTACCAAAAAGGATGCACTTTCCAATTTAGATTGGTTGGTTGAATTGTGTCACAGAAAACAATCTGAAACACCTAAAACTATCTTGTTTTGCCACACTATGAAAGATGTTGCAACCGTGACTAACTATCTCATGTTGAAGCTGGGGTCATCTGCTTACAGTCCACCAACATCCAGGGAATCTGAGGATTGTCTGATAGGTATATATCATTCCATGTCTTGGGACAACTACAACTACAAAGACAGAATTGTTTCTCAACTCAAAAGCAATTGGAAAGTACGCTTAGTTGTAGCTACCACAGCATTAAGTATGGGTGTAAATTTCCCGGGCATTCGTTACATTATCAATTGGGGTCCAGCACGCAATTTGTTAGACCACCATCAAGAAGCAGGGAGAGCCGGTCGTGATGACAAAAAACCCCAGATATTGTGGTTATTTACCATGGACAACAGTAAACTCACTGTGAGGACGAAGTAAAGTCATTTGTTAAGTCCACATCCTGTCTTAGGGTAGCAAGTTACAGTGCATTTGATCCAAATATTAAACCACTTGAACCAGGTCATGATTGCTGCAGTAATTGTTTGACCTTGTGCAAATGCAATATGGATGAATGCATAGCTTTCATAATGAAAGATGATCAGTCATCCATTTGTGAAGGTCTCTGTAATCTAGTCCTTCTAAGAGGTTCGCTTCAAATTTTGGAAACGATTTGTGACCTTCTCGTCCAGGGGTAAGCAGAAAAACTTGTTTTTTCATCAAGTCTCCAAGAATTTGTGTGACGCTTTCTTCAGGACCTTTCTTAGAATTTCGTCCTTGCCTTTTTTCCAATCTACAGTCAGTGTCAATGGAGCTCATAGGATCTTCAATTGAATCTAATGCTTTAGGTACTCGAGATGCACTCTGTTCTGACAGGTTTGACCCAAGACCTTTCCACATCGTTTTCAACACTTTGTTTTGTTGTTCCTTTTTCAAATCGAGAGGGATATTCCTACCCTTTCCGCCAAACTTGTTGTGAAATCTGTTCCACTTTAAATCACATATGCCTCTGACTCTGACAATATAGCTTTTATCTGGCTCAAATGTAAACGAACTGCATAGGCATACTTAAAATGACCATACATTTTATAGAAAAGCATTGCTAATTTATACACTTTGGATAAGCGTTCTCCATCTCCCTCCTTTACAGCATCGTTGAATTCCAATAGAAGTAAACCATATGTTAGCTTACTCCTGAACAAGTTGACAAGCTGTAAAACATAGTCTGGAATGTTTAGGATGGGGCAAGTTGGTTTCTAAGGCACTGTTTACATGTATATGATCCCTACATAAACTGCAGTGCTAATACATAGTGTGCAAGCCCTCCGAGAAGCCCTACTGGGCGAGATCTCGCCTATTATGGCTGGAAATTTCCCAGTAGGGCTGGGTAAAAATGCCATTAAATTGATTTCAAACTAATTTTTTAAAGCTTTAATGTAGTTCTAAACGAATATTCAAATGTCTGTTGGTCGCCATAATAAAAATAATGAGTTGCACGAAACCATTAAGTGCAACTTGCGATAGGAAGTCAGCCCTTAGGCAGTGGTGAAAATCGGTCCCACTGCTAGGGCACAGCCCTTTATGTGGGGCTCATATAAACACCGCCTAACCAGTTTGTTAACAGATGCAGGCTAGGGGTGCTCTATTTTAGTAGCTACGAAAATATGAATATATTGAATTATGCAAAGTATATTCACCTTGTAAAGTGTAAACTTTGCGCATGCCAATCCACAAATTCTGTCCTTAATCCTTCCAGTCTGTTACGCTGGTTTGCACCATCACCAAAAGCCCACTGAACATTCCGTCCCCTCTCTTCAAACAACTGGTCACCATGCTGTGCAACACGCAATAAAACACTATCTTTACCATTGACTGTCGATGTCGGGACATATTTGTCTTGGTTACTTTTTAGGATCTGTGCCATCTCCCTAGCAATGTTTGGGTTTAAGAAGTACAAATCCAAGCAACATAGCACTGATGAAGATCCGGGCTTGCGGATCGAAAGCTTTGCAGTAATAAATTTACGTGGTGTTTCCACAAACAAAACTATTATATTTTATCGCCATGCAAACATACAAAGAACTTACAACACTAAAATGCCATCAAACAAGGAACATATGAGTAAAAATCTATCTGAATGATTGGCTACTTTGCATGCAGACCAAAGAAGCTTACTATTTACTATTCTGTAGGAGGGCTAGAGAGGTGAGGCACTTCACTAGGAGAATGGGAGAATAAAATTGTATATGTATTTTATAACTAATATTTACAGACATTTAGGTTTCATTTCAAAAAATATTTACCGACGTAGATTTCTTTGTCATTTCCTCAGAGTATTTGTGGGGAATATGATGGATCACTACATCTTTAAAATATCTCAACGCTTTGACATACTTGCATAGCACTCTGCTGATGAGAATCCCCCAAATATCCTTTAATGAGTTCAGCACAGCGGCAGATGGCAGTAATTCAACCAGCTGGACATCTTTAAACCCTTTTGATGGGTTTGCTTTGTAGGAATCGATGAGACAATGCGAGCTCGTTCTGCGAATTGATGTGTCCAGTGAAGAGATTTATTCCCATGATCCTTGGTTTGAATTCTAGCATGAACTTCTAGGTCGACATTGTCACCAACAATCCTACAAAAACGTTTTTGAGAGCTCATTCTTAAAAAGGGTGTTGAAAATTCATTTTTTGTCTTTGAGGTGTTTATTAATCTTAAGAAGAAGGATACCTCAAACGCTTTGTTCTTATTTTAGCTGCGCAGTAAATAAAGGATTATATAACTAATTATGAGTATAGTATAATCATTGTAAGTTAATTTACAGTTAAATATTTGAAAAAAAATGTTTTCACATCGTTTAGATTGTTCACGTCGTTTTAAAAAAAGTGCGCTCCAAAAATTGTGAATTTGATATTCGCGAGAAAGGCTATAATGACAAATGAAATGTACAGTCTGGCTCGCGTACAGTCAAATTCATTAATAAAATTTAAAATTTTGCTCACTTGTACAAGGGAAGTTTCTCAGATTCCAGGTGTTTGATTACGTCCTTCAAATTTTCATCTGTTAGACCTGTTTCATTCCGCGAGACTTGAATTTTCAAAATCAGCTTAGTAGCCTGTTGCAGTACCTCGGGTGTATACGACGAGTAGGTGTTTACAACATTGTCCGTCAAGTCTAACTGTGTGTCAATGTCCATATCGTCTGAGTTGCAATCTTTGACCTGCTTTTCTTTCACTTTTTGAAGAAATTCGACCGTCGACCTGTTCTGTTCAATGGTATTTTTCCATACTTGAATCTTGGAATTGTAACTCTCTCCCATTTGGCGTTAAAGGTTTATCATCCTATCTGGAGACATGCGAATGCCCATTCGGTTTAAACGTCTCATGTCATCATAGCCGACACCCGCATGGGACAACACTGCAGAAACTCTATAAGCCAAAGCTGATATTGTAGAATTTCTCGCACAAGCAGCAACCGAGCAGCAAAGAGCAATAACATTAATCGTAGGTCGAGATCCACATGCTCCATAGACATTGGCATTCCAAAGAGGGCAGAAAATTCTTATTTCTTCCACAAGATGCTTCGATGAAAACCCAGCTAGCCCATCTGGCATCGTGCCATTTAGAATAGAGTCTGATCGACTGTACGCTACATACTTTGATGATACAGCACGTCGTAATGCTGCAGGCAATTCTTCTTTCAATGATTTGTGCGCAAAAAATCCATTTGCAGCTGCTTCCAGTTTTTTAAGGCAATATTCTTTATTAGCATTTGGGATTGCTTGTAATTAAGTGCTGGAATAGTAATATTACCACTGGGGTAAGCAATAGCAACCTTCACTTGAGTTTCATTACTTTCAAATAAATTAGATATGTTCATACGTTCCTGAAGAAAACGATCTTTCGGTTGATGTTGAATCGGTTGCTTTTGTACTGAAGAAAACAGCGTGGATCGCCGTTCCGGGTGTTAGCCTGAGGTGAGGGTACTAATTCCGCCCGGCCATTTACACCCGGGGAAAGGAACACATTAACGAAGTAAAAAGTTCATCAATAATCGCGGGCGCATGGCTATGCTTCACCGTTTACCGTTCGGTTGGTGGTCATCCTCACTGATCTCAAAAAATATAGCACACTTTAGTGAATAGCGAACACTAATGGGTAAAATTAAAATTTGCATTATAACGACTGCACGGTTGGCACAAAAGACAGCAAATTCGGCCACGTACAAATAACTTTCTGTCGTTAGCTTGGATATCACGAAACTTCTTTCATTCGAAAAACAAAAATCCTATCGTTTTTGTTTTTCGAATTTGTTACATTTTTGGCGGGAAAATGACGTGCCAACTTTGGCGCCAAAAAGTTAAACACGAGCTAAGAACATGCTAGGAACTTTTTTGAAGAGATTGTCCTATTAGGATCTCAGAACTGTAAAAACATTGAAAATACGCCAAAGCAGTTCAAAGATATGGCGCTTAAAAGTCTGAAAAATCCGCCATTTTGTTACTAAAAATAGATTTTTTTCGAAATTTGAATCGCCATATCTTCGCACTGTCTTGATGTATTTAATGTTTTTACTGTTTTGAGATCCTTATAGGACAATCTCTTCAAAAAAGTTACTAGTATGTTCTCAGCTCGTGTTTAATTTTTGGCGCCAAAGTTGGCATCCATCCTGTGAGGAAGTTTCCTGTGAGGAAGTTTCGTGATATTCCAAACTAACGACAGAAAGTTATTTGTACGTGGCCGAATTTGCTGTCTTTTGTGCCCACCGTGCTGCATGACGACAGCGAAATAACAAACATTTCTTCCAAATATATTTCATTTTCGCAAGATTTTTTTGATTGGCATCTTTATTTAAAACACGAGATCCATTTACAAGCTAGATTATGTGCCCTTCAATGGAGACTTGTACCTAGTGAACAAATTCCTAATGAATAAATATCAAAATATTTACAAGAGTTACAGACTACATATGCAAAGAAACAGGCATAAATAAAATAATTAAGAAATTTTAAATTTAAACTCAGCAAGTGATTGAACTCAGGCGATTTCGACGGATATGTCGATCCAAAGGCTGGGTAGCCCCTCTATAAGTAAAGCATTCTTTAAGGAATCAGTTAAGGTCTTTGGAACAAGAAGTTTGTGATTAGAGCCTCGCAAATTGTGTTCGTGTATCATAGAAGTTGGAGTAAATTTTCTTGACATGTAGCTAGGAGGCATGTTATTAACAGTTTTGTTAGCGAATGTGTCTCAGCGTCTGGTTTCGAGGTTGGTCCAATCCAATGTTAAGATATCTAAGGATCGAATGTTGTAATCAGATTTAATAATAATTCTTGCAGCCCTATTCTGTAAAAGCTGTAGCTTTTGTCCAAAACCCTTGCTTGAGCTATCCCAAACAGTGCTACAATAATCGGAGTGTGACTGTATTAAAAAGTTGTAAATCAAGACAAGAGTTGACTATGGAAGCAATGGTTTCAGTCTTCGTACGAAAAATCCAATCACCTTGGAGACTTATTATTAGATTATAGCAGAAACATGATACTCCCATGTCACGTTCTCGTCCAGGTGCAAACCTAAACACTTGTAAGTCTTGATTGACTCTTTCGATTTTGTTTCCAGTGATAGCGACATTAAGGTCTTCTGGGATAGTACTTAATTTTTGTCTGGATGCAATAAACATACATTTAGTTTTAATTGCATTCAGACTTAGTTTATTCAAGCCAGTTTTGGGGAGTTTTAAGATCATCATTTAGAACAGAGATTAACTTGTCTTGGTTGTTGTCCGCAAATGTCAAATTCGGGTATCATCAGCAAATAAACGCCCATCTGATACCAATTCACGATTAGTTAGGTATATATATTAGGAACAGTAGTGGACCTAGAATAAACCCCTGAGGAACACCACATGACATGTTACTTTACGAGTATCAGCCCGCATGTTGTTAATAACTTTGGGTACGATCGGAAAGATAATTTCTAAAAAGATCAATCCTTTTAATATTTAAGAATGTTTTTCAAAATCCTTATGGAAATAGTAAGGATCTTAGTTGAAAATAATATGGAAATCCAATTTTCCTACAAATTGCCATTGCCATGCATGCTAGGGATATAGTATGGAAATAGTATAAATCTACTATGAATTTAGTGATGTCAATTCCATTCACTATTTCTTCCAGTGATTGTTCCTTGATATTTCATATCTTTTTATTTCATTTCAGGGAGATTAGCAGACGGTGTTGGGCGACCAACAATGTATCCGATCTACCAGTTTTTGCACATACTCATACGATGTACACTTCTGGTAATTGTACAATGCCAAGCAAGTGAGAGTTTAGATTTTTGTTTCAATTCTACTCTTGAAGGTAGGTGACGTTACGTACACTATTAATTAATGGATAACCATTATTTATGCCACTTATGCCTTGGAAGATTATTTTACTGTAGCTATACATCATATTGAATAATCTCAAGGAACTCCCCCCTCTCCTACCATGTGATGCTTTTAATAATAAAGCCACTCTAACAATTTGACAACACAGTATATTCCCTCTTAAGACCTATAACTTAAATATTGCGATTCTGATCTTTGTTTATATCAATGTCTGACTATGAAGAAATAGATTTTCCAACATGAACTATATAAGAGCTAGAACGTTTGCCTGCATTCAATTTTACCAGAAACTAGCTTTTATATTTGACAAAATTTCCAATTCAAACAAATTGCAGGTGTCACAATGTCTCTTGCCAAGTAATGGTCTCTTGCCAAGCAAGTGTCCAACACCAGATGATTTTTCTTGTCAGGGAGAGTTTTGCCACTCAATGGGTTTAAAGATCAATCAAATATGTCAAAGTATAAGGCAATTCAGAGTTTCCACTGCACATTTAAACGACGCGTTCTCAGTAGCGTAGCTAGCCCGACGATTTAGTCCCGCTAAGCAAATATTTTCGTGTTCATTGACTGTGAAAACAATCTATTTCTAAAGAAATGAATAATGATAATAAGATTGATTTTGTTTTTTAACAAGCTCCTTGCCCCTCCATCACAAGATTCCAATAAAAGCATGAAAAACAGGTTGGTGGAAACCTCAAAGCCTTCACTGACACAAGACCAATAGGAGAATACGCAATATAGACTAAATTATATAGACCCATCCCTATAACTATTGTTATGTTTGCCAGGTTTCAGACTTGATGCAACAGTTTTGAAGACAAAAGGTGTTTCTCAATTGATGGAATGCATCGTGGAATTTGTCAACGAGCCATGTTGTCGGTCAATCAACTACAAAAAGGACTTTCAGAATACTGAAGCGAATTGTGAAATGTTACATGACGTGGTCTACAATACATCTGAGAAAGTATTGGAGAGAAACTCCTCTTACGATTATGTTTATCTGCTTGATCCACAAAAGGTATGAATTGACTCTAGAGGAGGAATGGTTTTAACTTCCAAATAAATTATAATGACCACTCACGTTGTGAGCTGGATACTTTGGATCTTTTTCTTTCATACTTACAGGTATCTTGTTTCAGACGTGATTTTATTATATATACATTCTTCTGATTGGAAAATAGATTGCAGCTAAAATATGGAAATCACAGAACATGCACACAAAACATGCGCACACAAAGAACCGTCTAATGTGTAGGTTGAGACCGCACAATGTAATTTTCTGGCAAGCGGCAATTTTATATAAGTAACGAAAAGACAAACCTCGTACTCAGGGCTAGCCTCGAATTGAAGTCAGCGACGTAGCCATGGTAAACACTGGTCATGTGACTCCAACATTGCGTAATTGTTACGTTTCTGATCCAGAGGTTGAAATAATTGTATGCTAGAGGTGCAACTCGAAGACCAACAGAGTTTATCTCCAAAATTCTTCAATCTTTCCTGTGAATTTTGCATTTCAAGCTTTTCTAAAAGTATTGCGATCGATCAAATGGATCAATACTTTCTGCAGAAAATATTTCTGTGAGATTTGTTTGTATGCGACGTTCAAAAGACTTGGATAATATTTATATGGTTTAATCATAGGCGTCAATCCTGGGGGGATGGGGGGGGCGTCCCTCCAATTTTTGGAGTGAGGGGGGGAGGCGAATATCTAATTATCCCCCCACTTTTTGACATGTTTAATGAAATTTTGTTTCTTGGTTATCTAAAAACCTAATGCATGGTATGCTGTTCATCCAAAATTGTGATTGAAAGGAAGACATTTAATAAGAAGTACAACGTATGATCTTTCTGTAGTCGCTCGGAGAAAGTACTGACATCTCATATGTAAAATTGTAAATACTTGCAATTGTAAATATGTGTCTTAACTGTCTCGTTTAACTCTACAAGGTTATTCAGTACAGTTAGCTTGCACATTCATATTATGTAATATTTAATGAAGAGAAGCAGTGGCGGACACTAGGGGGGGGGGAGCCCCCCAAAAAAACAATGTGATAATTTTTTAGGTTTGTGATGTTACTCTGAGAGTGTGCATCCACACCGGGCAGCAGTTGTCATGGATATTAAAAATACTCATTATTGACTCACTAACATTAAATAATGCTGAAACTGATGTTTGACTATAAATAATATCCTAGCCCTAGCAGTTCAAGACTTTGATCGTTCATCAGATTTTTGCTTTGCCAATCTGGCCACTCTGTCATTAATGGCTCATTTAAATAATTTCACGTCATTAAATGTAAATGTAGATTTTGTGTTTGGCTGCTTAATAACATTAGAAAACAAAGCATTTGAAGTCACTGCTGTAGACTGTAGTTACTGTTTACACGTTTCTCGCAGCGATAAATCAATATTGCAAATAATAATCATGTGAGAGTAGAACTTTACTGAGAGTCTGAAAATTATTATATAGGCCAGTTTGGCCACGTGTTTCTCAATATTTAAACCACAAATTCAGCTAAAATATATAATAGCTTTTCAAATATATATTTATAGAGCTAGTACTGTAACAAATTAAAAGGCAACCGTGTGCACTGGCGCCATTACGATATTCGCAAGAATGTTAAATAAACTCATGGGAATTTGCCACATAATTTGCAACAATAAAATACTTCTAGACATTTTTACACTATCCTTGGATCCCTAGCCTGGATACATAGGTAAAAAGTACGGAGGGGGACGACCTATTGTGTGCCACTTTGTCGAATTAAGTAACAGTGTTAAAAATACGAAATTATCCTTCCATAAATTTCCCGTGGATTCGAGCTTATTAAAAAAATTATGGCTGAATTTATTGGGAATACAAAGTCAACCTTTCAAAGCCACAAAATGCGTACCTAACACTTTCCCGGTGGAAAGAAATATTTTGGTGCATTGCCAATTGTCGTTAAAACATCATGTAGAAAAACTGTAAACGGTAGCCAAGGCAGGTAACACTATACTGTATTATAGACAATGAGACTACTACTGAAACAACCGAGTCTGAACAACAAACGACTGACATTGATGCACAAGAGTCAACCAATGAAAAATTAAAAACATGAACATGCAGCTTTACAAAGAAAATAATTATGAAGAGTTATCATTTAAATACGAACAGTGTGTATTGCGAATAGAACATGTAGGCTACTTGCCAGCGATAAAAATTTTACATTTCGCACAGGCTTTCAAAATTATGCAACCTTTTAAGTTGTCCTTGACTTTCTGTAACCAGCATGTAATTTCTTAACTTGTACTGGTTCGAGTAACAATCTATAGAATACACTCGACAGAATCGAAAAACTGGGGCAAAAAATGTCAATGTCACCAGAGTAAGAGTTGTTTATTGTTCAACAACGTACCGAGGCTCTTTCCACTACGCTCCTCGCTGGAGGAAAGGCCCTGGTCCAGGCTGGTCACGTGGCTCCCAGATTTTGGAAGATAACAAAAGTTTACATAAGGGTCGGGGAATAAGTTTGTTTTACCGATCTAGTTGCCGATATCAATTCGATAACATGTTCATTTTGCACTGTTTGGATATTTTGAGTGTACACCATATTGCTAACAAATTCAGCTGAATTGTGTAGCCTACTTTATTGCTCTACTACGTCTGATACCATGGCGATTTTGTCTTGTTTTGGCATGTCAAAGACATGGCATCCTTTCGGAATTTCAAAGCCATCTGTTTAGAGTTTTGATATATTGAAAGAATGTCATTTCTGCGATATATCGAAAGAAAGCCATTTCTTGATGTATCGAAGCCATGGATAGTTTAGAGTTTTCGATATATCGAAGAAATGGCATTCTTTCGATATACTGTGTCGAAGAAATGTCACTCTTCTGATATATCGAAGCAATGGATAGTTTAGAGTTTTCGATATGTCGAAGAGATGACATTGCGAAGACATGGCATGTTCTTGATATATTTCAGTGATTGGATCGGTCTCCAGACATGTTTTGAAACAATAACATTTTCCACTTTTTCCTCTTTTCCCCCTTTCGTTCACATGCATGCCTTATACTCACTGCTAAAAACAATAAATTTTGCCCAAATTAATATCCAATCATGATTCTGGTAAACGTCCAGTAAACGAATGACTTAGGTTCGACAAAATTTGTAACAAAGCCCACTCACCTTACATCTGTTTATATGCGTCCAAATAGTACACACATAAAAATCCACCCGAATCCGACCATGGCAACCTCTTTATTTCGACCATCGAAAATCCAAGATGGCCGCCAAATCCAAGATGGCCGCCATTTTTGAACAAAAACCAAAATAAAACAGTTACACAATTACACTTGGTGGAGTTAAGCCTCTAGGCATGTTTATTGCCTATCAATACATGTAAAACCGGCATTGAATCGAAATCTGAGCTTGCAAATCATATTTTTTTTTGAAGTTGTTAAATCCAAGATGGCTGCCAAATCCAAGACGGCCGCCAAATCCAAGATGGCCGCCGTCAAGCTTATTTGGATATGTATTAGGCACCATTTTCCACAGCAAAGCAAATAAATTCAAAATACTAGATACTTAGATTATTTAACATTATTTTCATGCGTAAAATCTTTTTATAAAAGCAATAAAACCCATTTACAAGGGGACAGCTCTTCGTATAAAAAAGGACCGTAAAAGACACTGGAAATTATTTTTATTGCTTAACTAAAATGTGTTTCTTGCGGCCTTTATAAAAGTGAGCCAGTGTATCATACTGCAGCTCTTCCTTGACGAAACACATTCCTTTTTTTTCTTTCAGATGGTGCAAAATTTGATATGTTTGCAATACTCGTAATTCTACTTATAAATCTAGAAGAAATTAAAGTTCACGTCAGATATCATCAGCAGCAGCAGCAGCAAAATCCTCACGATCCACTCACGGAGAGTTTAGGCACGCAATGCCCTTACATTGGCCGCACGCTGGAGTGCACTGAAGACCGTTCTTGAATCAGGTGCAACTGAGATCGTGTATCACATCTGCCACCACAGTTACATCTGATGTTTCGCAGGAGCTGCGCTGGGGCTGCTGGCTCTGACATCTGCACAGGAACAAGGCCTGTTGAGGATCTCGCCCATCCACATTCCTCCCCAGGAGGAAGATCATTCCCTTTCCATGCTTGTACCTGGAGAAAGACATGGTGACTGTGAATTCGGCTGGCGTCTGATGTCGGCGGAAGCTTCTCTGGTGGTATATATCCAGCAGCTGTGGCCACTTTCGTTTGAAATCTTTGGAGCCTTGCAGTTTTCAAATCATCTACTTGGCTTCCATACATGATGAGTAGGGCCCTTTTGCCAGCTGTTTCTAGGGCCACTTTTGAAGACTTGCTTGCCATAAACGTTGCAGCACTTTCTGCCAGGGCAGCAAATTTCTTCAGAGCCCCCACTTTCACGATTCCGTGAGGCCTTGAGGTCGTATCACAGCCGCTAACAGCATGGAGAAAAGGGAGTGACTCTGACAGCTTCACATCCACTCTGCGCTTGATGGTGCTAGCGCAGACAGTTCGTTTTGCAGTGACCATGTTATACATCACTAGCAGCAGGATCTGTGTGGTGAACTAGCAACTGGAAAACATCAGAGTCTTCTGCAACAACAGCTACTGTACTTCCTAAGGCATACGCACAAGCCCTCTGACAAATAATCTTGTAGTCTGCATTTCCTTGTGCCATGCTCAACATGGATTCCAGCTCGACCCATTTCGTCAGCGAGGAGGTAGATGAGGGCCTGTTTGTTGGAAGAATTCCCAAGGAAAGCTTTCTTGGACATCGTCAGGCGCATTTCTTTGGTAACAGACACTGTTCCGCCAACGTCGTTGCTTGATCGACGTCGATGTGCTTCGTCTTTTGTACTGGGGCCATGATATCCATCAAAAACCACTGTGGCATTGGCGTAGCTGCTACTCACATGTCGAACGTACAGAGTGCATATTTCAGCGTACGTGGAATTCTTTGGCCATGCGAACTTGTGAAGCAGCCCTCCTCCGTCGATGACATACCGCAAGCCTGTAGTGGGGAGTGTCGAAACAACACTTTCAGGGACGAGCTTGACTAAATGGTGAATTAGCTCTGCTTTGTCGCCGGTTCTCATGCGCATGTAGTTGTCAAAAAGAGTGGCCGGTAGAGAGCACAGTTCGTAGCCGAGTAATTCAGAAAGAAGTATGTCTCCAACACCCATGAGAAGAAGGCGCTGATACAAGTGTTGGGGATCCAGCTCTATTTGTCCTCCAGAGGGCGTTTTTACGTATACAGCAGAGGCAAGGGTCTTGACTTGATTCTTCTGTGAAAACGAATACGCTGATACCGTCTCACCAACCATTGACTGCAGAATTTTAGCTCCGACCGACTTTGCATCATCAGCATTCACGGAGTCATCGGAAATTAGTCCAGTCGATAAGTTTACAAGTTTCGCGAAGGACGTGTTGAATACACCGCCGCTCGTTGAAAACCTCTGCCAGTTTTCTATGTCAGACATGTCCCTGCTGACGAAATGGGTCGAGCTGGAATCGATGTTGAGCACGCCACAGGAGATGCAGACTACAAGATTTGTCAGAGGGCTTGTGCGTATGCCTTAGGAAGTCCAGTAACTGTCGTTGCAGAAGACTCTGATGTTTTCCAGTTGCTAGTTCACCACACAGATCCTGCTGCTAGTGATGTATACATGGTCGCTGCAAAACAAACTGTCTGCGCTAGCACCATCAAGCGCAGAGTGGATGTTAAGCTGTCAGAGTCACTTCTTTTCCTCCATGCTGTTAGCGGCTGTGATACGACCTCAAGGTCACAGGGAATCGGGAAAATGGGGGTTCTGAAGAAATATGCTGCCCTGGCAGAAAGTGCTGCAACGTTTATGACAAGCGAGTCTTCAACAGTGGCCCTAGAAACAGCTAGCGAAAGGGCCCTACTCATCATGTATGGAAGCCAAGTAGGTGATTTGAAAACTGCAAGGCTCCAAAGATTTCAAACGAAAGTGGCCACAGCAGCTGGATATGTACCACCAGTGAAGCTTCCGCCGACATCAGACACCGCCCGATTTCACAGTCACCATGTCTTTCTCCAGGTACAAGCATGGAAAGGGAATGATCTTCCTCCTAGTGAGGAGTGGGGATGGGTGAGATCCTCAACAGCCCTTGTTCCTGTGCAGATGTCAGAGCCAGCAGCCCCAGCGCAGCTCCTGCAAAACATCAGATGTAATTGTGGTGGCAGATGTGATTCACGATCTTGCACCTGCTTCAAGAACGGTCTTCAGTGCACTCCAGCGTGCGGCCAATGTAAGGGTATTGCGTGCCTAAACTCTCCGTGAGTGGATCGTGAGGATTTTGATGCTGCTGCTGCTGCTGCTGATGATGATACCTGACGTGAACTTTAATTTCTTCTAGATTTACAAGTAGAATTACGAGCATTGCAAACATATCAAATTTTGCCCAATCTGAAAGAAAAAAAAGGAATGTATTTCGTCAAGGAAGAGCTGCAGTATGATACACTGGCTCACTTTTATAAAGGCCGCAAGAAACACATTTTAGTTAATTAAGCAATAAAAATCATTTCCAGTGTCTTTTACGGTCCTTTTTTATACGAAGAGCTGTCGCCAGGTAAATGGGTTTTATTGCTTTTATAGAAATATTTTACGCATGAAAATAATGTTAAATAATCTAAGTATATAGTATTTTGAATTGATTTGCTTTTCTGTGAAAAATGGTGCCTAATACATATCTAAATAAGCTTGACGGCGGCCATCTTGGATTTGGCGGCCATCTTGGTTTTTTGCGGCCATCTTGGATTTAACAACTTTAAAAAAAAATATGATTTGCATGCTCAGATTTCGATTCAATGCCGGTTTTACATGTATTGATACGCAGTAAACATGCATAGAGGCTTAACTCCACCAAGTGTAATTGTATAACTGTTTTATTTTGGTTTTTGTTCAAAAATGGCGGCCATCTTGGATTTGGCGGCCATCTTGGATTTTCGATGGTCGAAATAAAGAGGTTGCCATGGTCGGATTCGGGTGGATTTTTATGTGTGCACTATTTGGACGAATATAAACAGATTTAAGGTGAATGGGCTTCGTTACAAATTTTGTCGAACCTCGCCTAAAAAAAATGCTTCGTTTACTGGACTTTCAACAGCAATTTTCTGTGAGTTCTGCCTTTTCATCATGTTGACATATAGAACGAAACCGAGATTGTCGTTGAGTGAGCTTCGAGGACATCAGAAGTCTATTAACGTTTTTAAGAGTTTAATTTGAAACATCTAGCCAGGCCTCATTAACAACTTCGTCCTTTAGAACCGTTAAGACGTATTTTATGAAAAATACATGCAAATCAAAACTTAATTTCATGGTATAGTCCTTTGTGTTGCTTTTTTCACACTCCTTGTATTGTTAACTCGAACGCCACACTTGCCTTCCATACCCCCTATGAGTTCCAATTGTTATCTCCCAAAATCTGGGAGACACGTGACCATGGCCAGGCTAGACGTGGGTTGACCTGTTGACATTGCTCATCGATTTGGCATTTTATAAGCACATGTTTCCGTGATATGGGCTACTTTGTTAGAGTTTCTCTATCATGCACGAGTTAAGAGACCTACCCACCTGGGCATCACGTGATTATATACAACAAAGTATGCTACAGCCTTTCAAAGAAACCTACCAAATACCAGTGTAATTATTGATTGTTCAGAACTACTTATTGAAATTCCAACATCATTCAGAAGTCAGACTGCAACATTTTTGTCATATAAAAATCACAATACTGCTAAGGGTTGCTATAGGAATTTTTCCAGCTGGATATCCAACGCATACGTTTGTATAAAAATTTCTGAAAGGGCTTCTGATGAACAAGTGACCAAAGATTGTGGCATTCTCACTTTTTTTGAGTCGGGAGATGATATTATGGATGACAAGGGTTTTGATATACTGTAGCAGATGATATATGCCTGCTGGTGCTGGTCTCAACGTACCACCTTTTCTGAATGGTGCCAGTCTACTTTCACTCCGTGCGGCACTGAGGGTGCATGTGGAAAGAGCAATACAACGTATAAAGAGTTTTAGAATTACAACAAAATTTCAATGTCTTTCCACTGAAAATATCATCAGACTTAAACAAAATATGGGTAATTTGTTCTTACCCCACTCTATTTTACCTACCTTTAATAAACGATAAGTGTGAATCAGAATAAAATATGAAACAATTGTTTTTAAATATTTTCTTTAGTAGCTATAGTTCCCCCATTAACTCTGCATGCAGACATAACACCTTGCATTTGATAAAAATGATGATGATTCCGGTTAGCTTGTGGTTTTCCATTTAGTACATGTAAATAGAATGATGGGTCAACCTCGCAGGCTTCTTTAGTTGTCATTTCGTTTTTTTGAAACTGGGCACTTCACCTCACATATCCCAAATGATGTTGTCTCTGCATAATCATATAACAAGCAGTCTGGACTTGCACCAAGCCATGGAGCGTCTGCCAATATTCTCAGTAATGCATGGGTAAATGGGGGAATACCACTGCATGAGGTTTCTTGTCCACTGTATTCCATCCTCCATATTTATAAGCGCAAACCAAACGGCTCGAAACTTTCCAAAATATAAGCGAGGTTACTTTAAATTTGACTCGCGTAAATATGTTGCATTTCACAAACTCCAATAAAACACTTGAACAGCAGTGAATAGTACTGAAAAGTACTTTTTAAATCTTTGAAAATCTTTGAAATGTGGACAGGGGCGTAGGAACCGGGGAGCCAGGAGGGCCAGACCACCCAAGTTTTGCCAAGTGCGCTTTTTCCGGGAGCAAACTGTCCTTTTCTTGCGTGAAAAATGACATTAAGATTGCATTTTTTGCCCAAAGGACACTTTTGACAACTTTGAAATCTATGTTATTTCCTGGAAATTTTTTTCATTTCCGGGAAAAAATCATATATCCGGAAAATTTTTTGGTATATCTGGAAATTTTTTTTCATATTTAGGAAAAAATGTAGATGTCCGGAAAATTTTTTGGTATGTCCGGAAAATTTTTTGAGATAACCTCCCCCCCGTGGCCAACATTTCCCGGAAAAAAATTTTAGATGCCCTTTTTTATTCGAAAAGTGCCCCTCAAAGCCTGGCCCCCCAACTTTTAGAAGCTTCCCATGCCCCTGAATGTGGAAGCTCGGTATTTCAAACACTAACTGTTTTTATTTTTCGCGCCAAACAACTTCAACGATTTGGTTTGTGAAAATTAAAAGAATTTCGGGAATGTCAAGTGTGTTCACCTATGTCTGACTCATACGCATCTAACTCTTTCTCCCGCTTCAGTGACTCTGTACACGGTGAATATTTCAGTCACACTAGCTCGTAGAGGCCCAAGACGCAGTAGAAATATAAAACAAGCCGTCCAGATTTAGTAAAAACTTTAATCAAAGCTAGCGAAGATGATAAACGTTTTCTTGGAATTTTTATGTGCCTAGCACCTTCCCTTGGTTCGAAATGTATAAGCGCCATGTTGAAATATTCTGCTGTGTAAGCGCCATGTTGAAATATTCTGTTGTGTAACTAAACTGGAAAGGGTACAAATTAGGTGTATGTCCATTATTTATCCCGCAACCACCTATGAAAACGCTCTAGAAAATGCCAGTCTATCCAGCCTGAAACAACGCCGAGAAAAGCTTGTAGCCAAACTATTCACCAACATTATAAAAGACCAAGATCACCAACTGAATTGTCTGTTGCCGAACAAAAAACGATCCTGCTATAACTTTCGAAAGAAAAATACATTTACTTTACCTAAATGTCGAACTGATCGCTATAAAAACACTTTTATCCCTGCCAACATTTTTAAGCTTAGCAATTATTCGTATTCTAATTTACACGGAAATTTTTAACTTCTTTAAATTTGTAAATTATGCATGCAGTTGAGTAATGTTTTATACACCTAGCTAATTATTGTAAAATTGTGTAATTCAACCTGCTGGTTGCAAGGCAATTCTATCAAAACGATCTATCTATCTAATTCCATGGGCTCATTGGGCCTGGATTTTCCTCCACATCATTTGCAAGTCTCAATAGCCATGGTACATAAACATGATAAGATACCATCTGTGTATACAATATACAAACTACATTATTACTTTCAATCGTTGTAACTTCATTTTTCAAACATGGTAAATAAAATATTTCTAAGAAGAACATTACTAACATATGGCTCCAAAATTTAACTTTCATTTTATTCATGAAATGTCGTGCTTGCACAAAGTTGTTATGTGAACCAATTCTTAGTCTGTAGATCTCAATTGACACACCCATATTTCTATATTCTCACTGTTTGGAATAAAATAGTTTCGTTACAGTAATTGTCAATAAGTATAGTGTGCTGTACTTTTAATATTTTACTTTGTATTTGTAATTCTCTTAAAATTTCACAATGGCAAAGTCTCAATCATCCCAGAACAATGGCAATGGGCTGCTTTTTGGGTAGTCTCGCAGTAGCTGGGGAAAGTGATTTTCATTGGCTCGATTTGACAATTGCATGCTTTTGTGTTTACAACAATGAATTGCTTCGTTCGTTAGAAAACCCCCATCTAATTGGAGACGACCTTCCCGCACAATGGCAAGGTTCAATTTTTACCTGCAGAATGGCAAGGTCCAATTTAATTGAGTCCGTGGCCTTTCAAGCAAATAGCGCCTAAAAAATAATCAGTGCGAGCACAACGGCTCCGTTTCAATTTGAGTATTTTGAGACCTTTCACGCTAATATAGCGCCTGATAAATAATCAGTGTGAGCACGAACTATAGTGGGAGATACGTTACAATCTACTGACAAAACGAGCATGTCTTGTTACGCTTTTGTCAAGTTCAAACTCATTTCCTGCGAGTTTTTCTGTCAACGCGTTTATAGGCTAACCTCTATGACATTCGTAGTACTGCATATCATATTCATTACTAGAAATACATGCATGCAGTAACCCCTCGCCAATAATTTCCAAACATTAAATTAACATGAAGTATTCAGAAATGGCCCACTGAACGCAGGCTCGCGCTCAAGTGTTACCATGACAACACGATATTCTTAAATTTTCAATTTTTTTCATATTTTTTGTACAAAACTGGAAAATAGTTGAACAGGGTCGTAGGAACCTGGGTGAGGGGCAGGTCCCCCACGTTTTGCCAAGTGGCCTTTTTCCAGGAGCAAAGTGCCCTTTTTTCGCGTGAAAAATGTTCATTAAAATTGCATTTTTTGCCCAAAGGGCACTTTTGAAAACTTGAATCTATGTTATTTCCGGAAAATTTTTTTCATTTATTTTCATTATTTCATGAAAAATATCATATAACCGGAAAATGTTTTGGTATGTCCGGAAAAATTGTTTCGTATTTAGGAAAAAATGTGGTATATGCGGAAAATTTTTTTGTATATCCGAAAAATGTTTTTGAGATGACCTGCCTTCCCCCGTCGCCAACATTACCGGAAAAAAATTTTTAGATGCCCTTTTTTTCGAAAAGTGGCCCTCAAAGCCTGCCCCCCCCCCCTCCCTAATTTTTAGAAGCTTCCTACGCCCCTGTAGCTGAAAGATTCATACTTTTAACTATACAAAGAAAAACTTAGACATGAAGGACATCCTGGAATAGTAGCAATGAAACAGCGTCTTCGAAGTAAGGTCTGGTGGCCGAGAATTGATAGACAAGCCGAGAAAGTTTGTCGAGAATATTTTGGGTGTCAACTAACATCGAACCCAACCAAACCTCAACCTATGGCACGCATTGAACTTCCAAATGCACCATGGGAACACCTTGCCTGTGATTTGTTAGGAACTTTTTCCTTCTGGGGACAACATATTTGTTGTTGTAGACTATTATAGGCGTTTTTTTAATTAGAGTTCACCAAATCAACCACAGCCGAGAAGTTGGTTTCTATATTATCTAGGATTTTGATTACACATGGACTGCCCTTGTCTATTAGAACTGATGATGGACCTCAATTTATCAGTGAGTGTTTCAAGAATTTCTTGGTGGAAAATGGGATTGAGCAGCAGATGACCACACCTCTGTGGCCGAAGCAAATGGGGAGATTGAACGACAGAACCGTAGTATTTTGAAAAGGCTACGTATTGCACAGGCCGAAGGGTAGAATTTGAGATTGGAAGTAGATCGATTTCTGATGATGTATCGTAGCACACCCCACACAACTACGAGAGTGTCACCTGCAGAGCTACTGTACAGGAGGAAATATCGCACCAAACATCCCCAACTTGGAAAATCCATTAGTGAGTCAGAGGTTAAAGATCGAGATGCAGAAAGTAAAGAGAAAGGGAAGATCTATGCTGATAAGAAAAGAAATGCGGTTGAAAGTAATATCCAAGCCGGTGATAAAGTGTTGATGAAACAGGACAAGAAAAACAAACTTTCAACTTTCTTTAATCCAGAGCCATTCAGAGTTCTACAGAAAAACGGGAACAGTGTTTTAGTTGAAGCGGATACCGGAGTGCAATATAAGCGGAACATTACGCATCTTAAGAAACTGATAACACCCGATGCAGAGGAGAATGAAGTAAACACTCAAGAGTCGATATTGCAGGAGTTTTCGATAAGTGAACCAAAACGTTTGAATGGTAGGAGATTGGGTGAAGATGAAGGTGGAGGAGTTAGGCAGAGTAGAACAAAGAGACTACCAGATAAGTTGATAGATTATGTTGTCGATTGTAGATAAGTATTTAGATAATTATTTGCTTAGCTTATTAACATTCAAACATTAATATTGAATTAGAGACTTTAATATTTAACATTAATATTTAATTAGAGACTATAATCTTTAGTTAAAGTGCCATTTATTAGGAATTAACTGTCTAAGAAAGGAGGGATGTAGTATTTGCACAATCATGTTAATTATGTTAGGAGTAGGTATAAATGCGCATGCGTACTAAGGAGCTAGGAATGCTCTTCTTGTAATGGTGATTGAGTCTGTTATCAAAATAGATATTTATTTACTTATTAATCTGTGGGAATCCTTTGGTTGTTTAAGACATCGAGTCTACAGATAGTACTTAATATTTTCAGCATCAAGTATACCTAGGAGAGATTCAAAGTGACTGAACTTTACCCCTGGTGAATTAGGTGGCCTATACCATGTCGCTATGAGAAAAAGCTTGGCTCCTGGTTTATTAATTAAGATGCACAAGTTTTCTAATTGATTAAATGATAAATCATGCCGAACCGAAAAATTTATACAACTACGGATATAAAAACAAACACCTCCACCAAATCTACCATTAGATTCTCTATTACGGCGAACAATTTCGTAGCCATGTACAGTATATGCACTTCATCATCACTAACCGTAGAGTCAAGCCTTGTCTCATTTATAGCCAATACATCAATCATATTATTGGCTAGGAGGATTCTGAGCACCTCAATGTGCTTAACTAAACTAGTTACATTGAGTGATGCTAGTTTAAAACCACTCATCTTAGGCAAGAGTAGGTTTTGTTCATTAGGCATATTAGTTTGTAAAGATTGCATATTATATACTGATTTAGCAACTCTAAACGAAGCGCCATTATGTCAATAGTCTAAGTTATTTGTAAACTCAATAACGTTATTTTGGAGTGATAAACTACCTAACTTATTTAAATGCACACCTCGTCTGTTCAAATGACTAGTATTGATGTTTGCATTTCTTAAGAAAGGAATCTTGTTTACTTGACAATAATTGTCTAAGATAAGGTTAACTTGCTTAACCTTGGTATCTAATTTCGGACAGTCATTCCGGTGTCACAGGAAATTTGGCCCCCCCGAAAATTTGGCCCCCCCGGGCCAAATTTCCTAGGAAATTTGGCCCCCCCCGGGCCATATTTCCTAGGAAATATGGCCCCCTCTTCGGAAATTTGGCCCCCTTTAAAAAATTATAGTTTGTTTTATCTTTAGGCTCGGAAATCGTAAGGCTTCTACTAAAACAAATTTCTAGAAATTTTTCTCAACATTTATAGTCAGTTTGCGTAATTTTTTGTGTCAAAATTCTCCATTGAATTGCAATACTGACGAGAATTAGGCCAAGAGCTAAAGTTTAGCGTACTTTTCGCGTTTGGTTTTGACCAGCTTTGTAGAAGACATTAATAAATAATGGCTGTATCATTAAGCTAAGGAAACGGAATTTACGGAACGTCATTCAATTGCAAACCTTTGTGCTTTTGTGTGCGGAATGTTTCAGTTGTGAGCCATGAAGCATGCAGTCTACTTTCGTTTTTACGGAATGCTTCTATAATGCATCCCAACCATATGAGCGAGTATATATATTGTGTATGTGTAAATGCATAGGAAATTCAAGGGTTTTTTTACGAAGTAATCACTCATTTAATTTTGTTTTTTGAACAAACGTTTCCACTTAAAATTCTACTTTTACTGCTAATTCTCCCTGTTATTTATTAGACGCGTGCATATTAACATATTCGCCAACGCAGATGTCATCGTTTGCTAAAGTGCGGTTGTTATTCTGACTAATTTTATACTATGTGACTGAATAAATAGATCTAAATAACTTTGTAATATCTTAGAAATTCCTATCTCTAAAAATCGTTTCGTGTTCTTAGCTTAAAGCTAAGCGATCATACATTAACGTTGTCCTCTACAGATACCCATGTGTGATGTGTCTGGCAAGACTGCACTAGCACATTATTATTACGCTTTCCTTCAAACTTTTAGCTCTTGGCCGCAGCGAAGAATTTCGACACAAATAAACTATGCAAACTAACTATAAATACGGACAAACACTTTTAGGATCTTGATTCTTGGTTTTAGAAGAAGCTTCGCGATTTCCGAGCTTATAAGCGATGAAGTAAACTATGTTTTTGAGGGGGCCAAATTTCCGAAGGGGAGGCCATATTTCCTAGGACACCGGTCTAGCAACGCTGATACACCTACCATAGTGTTTGGAGAATTCTCTTTTATCTGAGTCGTCAGGTTTAAAATTGAATCCACAATAACTTTCGGTGAGAATTTTTTAAGTCATTTGTGCCGACATGGAGAATGACTTTATTCGGTGACTTACGAGTGATAGGTTTGATTTATAAAGTCTTCCATATCCTCAACGGTTGCACCCGGGAACGCTCTCACAACGTAGTGATGACCAACATCATCTTTACTCATATATGCTCCGACCATATTCTTTACTAAAGAATCACCGGCAATCACAACAACACATCTTTCTTTTTATTCCTGGTTGAAGATTTACTTACGGTGACATTGACCTCTTGTGTTGCGTTAGCACCAGCTATATTCTTATCAGGAGGCAAATAATTATTAGGTGATGGGCCCCCGCGGGGTGATAAGGCATATTAGGCGATGAAGCGTCACCAGGCGATGAAGCGTCACTAGGTAATGAGGCGCCACGAGGCGATGAGGAGTCCCCAGGGGATGAAGCATCACTAGCTGGAGGATTACGTTGCAATATAGTGATAACACAGTAGCTATAATAATACAAATGCATCATTAAGGCCACCTAACAGTTCAGTTCGAATGTGGATAGTGTGCCATCAATCGCGACAACGTCGACAAGTTCTGATAGATTCTTAGCGAACTTTCGCTCGCTTTTTTCCAGTTACCATCGTGGGTCATTTCGGCAAAATTCATCTCGTGCGTCTTCGGCTCCACCGCCAAAACGAAAACAAACACTTGTATGGTCTGATGTATGCCAGTGCTTGGCCTAATCCGGATGCCTCTCTCAAAAAGGGCACAGAGTAACCAGATGGTTGTAGAAGTATTAAAACCAAATTTTTATTGCTAGTGCCGCTGCGAAGGATTTCGAAACCACCACAATTCTGAAGTTTGGGAAAATATTCTTTGAGTTTGACCACAAAATCAGATGCACTACCATCTTTGTTAAAATCTTTTTTTTCTTCCTAACCCAGCGAACTGAAGGTCACGTTTTTGTCCTCGAGTTGGTTGATAGTTTTGATGGCGATCAGCCAAACAAAACAATTCAAGGATCCACGTATCTTTGGGTACAAACTGAGAAAGTGTTCGTTTTCGTTTTGGCGGTGGAGCCGAAGACGCACGAAATGAATTTTGCCGAAATGACCCACGATTGTAACTGGAAAAAAGCGAGCGAAAGTTCGCCAAGGATCTATCAGAACTTGTCGACGTTGTCGCAACTGATGGCACACTATCCACATTCGAATTCTCTGTCACGGTTGAACTGTTATAGGCGGCCTTAATGATGCATTTGTATTATTAGCTACTGTGTTATCACTATATTAGATACACCTGTAAGCAAAGATTCCGCTTGTCTCAACAAGCTGACAACTTGTGTAAAGTTTAACATTTTTTATTTCAAGACCGTTATAAACACGCGATTCGAACGAGCACGTGTTTCGACTCGCGCGTCGCGTGTTTCACAATACAAGCTTGCATCATACAAGCTTTCACAATTTAATGTTGCGTAATATATAAAAACTTTCACAATTTAATGTTCCATAATACAAGCCTGCATAATATAATGTTCCATAATGCCATCTTACACAATTTAACGTTCCAAAATACAAGCTTGCACATTGCAGTATTCCAGGATACAAGCATGCTTGCATAATACAGTGTTCCAAATTACAGTTATAAAAAAATAGTGCATCAAAATACAATGTTGCATAACAAAAATCGCAGTTGCATTTTGAAGGGAATATCACCTCATAGTATTCCGGACATTAAGACCAATGTACCCAAAGTCACACTGCCTCGAGTGGATCCATGGAATGCTCGATTGCAAAGAAAATCTGGGATCGGGTATTCACTACAAATTCATGATTTCTGATGGAGATAGCAAAGCATATGCTAACATATGGGACACATATGGATGTTGTGATGCCTGTCAGAAGTATGAAAATATGGACAATCGGTCAAAGGAATACAAAATGTGGCTAGAGTCAAAAGACTATAAGATATAGAAAGAACAACATGATAGTGGTGAAGCCAGTTGTTCCAGGGTCTTCAAGTTAGACTGCATTGGCCATGTTCAGAAGAGAATGGGGACTCATCTGAGGGAACTCAGAAAAAAAGCATAACAAACTAAAGGATGGTAAGTCAGTGAAGGGCAGTAAACATAGAGTTACGGACAAAGCCATGGATAAATTGCAAACCTATTATGGCAATGCTATCAGAGCAAATGTAAAGCCTGGTAAACTTTCAGCAGAGGAACAGAAGAGTCAAATAGCTGTGATGCAGAAGGCTATCATGGCAGTACTGTATAATACATGTGAACTAAGTGATGAAACAGAAAGGCATAAATATTGCCCGGAGGGAGCAGATAGCTGGTGTTCATACAAACGACAAGGAACTTTGAAAAGGAAAGATCACCATTTGGATGCCGTTTTTTTAGATTTCTTGTTGCCAGAAATTACACGACTAAGTGACTATTCCTTATTGCTTCGGTGTCTATCTGGATATTCGCAAAATGCGAATGAAAGCCTCAACGGCCTTGTCTGGAACAGAGCTCCAAAGCATCGCTCCAAAGGCCCTAAAGTTGTGGAGATGGCTGTCATGTCAGCAATAACACATTTTAATTCTTGTGCAAGCTCAAGGCATGATGTGATGAGAGCTGCTAGCTAGTATTCCTCCAGGAGAATTCACGAGCGAAGGAAATGCGAAAAAAGATAAATCAAGAACTTCTCGATCCATACAAAAAGCATCAATGCGGGAAAAAGAAAGAAGAAGGAAGATAAGGGAAGCCAAATTGACAGCTCAACAGCAGAATGAGGAAGGTGAACCATCCTATAGTAGTGGAAAATATAACGAAGCTGATCTTTCAAGTAATGACGACAACATGCCACTTGCTAGGCTCTTACCTGAAGCTGACTCAGACACTTCTGATAGAAGTGACAATGCCCCACTTGCTCAATTACTTCTGAAATAACATTAGAGTTAACCAACAATGTTTGACAGTAGTTTTTAAATGTCTTTATAGAGCACAACACATGGAAAACACTTGTGCATAGTTCATAAACTTTGTTAGCCGTTTTCTCAAAAGTGGTATTTTTGGCAGGCACCGTTACCTTAAACCTAATAACTTGAAAACTATTTGACCAATCTTGCTGATTTTCCAGAGGAGATTCTCAAGACAATGTTAAAAAAATAATGGATGCTTTTTTTAATTATTTAAAACCTTAGCATTTTAGACAATTTTTATCACACAGTGATATGTTACTTCTATTCAAGTGGTTGCCATGGCAACAGGAAACCTAGCTACTCCAAAAGCATCATCTAAATATAAAGAAATACTGACCATTAGTCTTTGATAGGTTGCCCCTGACAAGATAGAATTTAAAGATGGACTGCTGAAAAATGCACGTTGTCATGGCTTACAAGCACTTTTTTATTGTGAATTAACTTTTGTTTTGTTATGAATTAACTTTTGTTGCAGCATCTGATAAGCTTCAAAATGATATATAGCATGTTGAAATTGCAATAATCTATCAATATTAAGAGCCGATACAGTATAATGATGCCGCAAACCTACAATTTAATTAAGGTGTACTCCTATCGATATCCCATCCATGGGTGTCACAACAGGCAGAACAACGGTTGGCAATCACAGCTTTCTTCTTTAGATCAGCAATTTCGGTATTTAGCTTATCAATATCCCGTCTATGCTTGTCACAACGGGCACAAGGGTTGGCAGCCACAGCCTCGGGGACAAAAGATGTAATTTCTACTTCCGACAAACCCTGCTTGGTAGCTTCATGGTTACAAGACTCGCCTAGCTAGCCCGAGCACATTTTCGTTATGATTATTGTTACTGATATTGCAGCATGAGATATTACTTACTTGCAACAATGTGGTGCATGGTTCTGGCGTTTCATCAGGACTAATATTATCCACTTCAGTGCTCGCTTCGGCCATAAAACATTCTAAGGACTTCATGATTTTTTCTGTGTTGGTGTAATGTACTCAGGTGAATATGATGCTTGTGTTGTTACTCTGAGTGTATATCCACACCCGGCAAGCTTGCCGGGTGTGGATATACACTCAGAGTAACAACACAAGCATCATTCGAAGGACTTGTTAAGATCGCTATTTTTGACTTTCTTCGGGTCGACTTCTACAAGAATACCATGTATTCGTGTAGACAAATGTTTAGCTTTGGTCCCTTCAAAGAGTATTGCTTCGCTCTTCGTATATACCACGTAACTTTAAGTTGATCGCTGTCGAAGCACCATTTTCCGCCACTGGGTGAACGCCATGTCGAACTTTCAGCAGTTTCTTCGTCGACTATTGTAAGAACAAATGCCTTGAGATCTTCTAGAGATCCTGACCATGTTAATTTATTGTTCTTCTTGCCAAAGAAACTATATAGAGCATTAATAACTGTTGATGAATTCATTTTGAACAGGAGCTCAACAACACACGTCTGACCAGGAGCTATAGCTTTGTAAGTTGGTTGATAACTTGATGCACTAATTGATGCTCAAGCTCATTGATGAACTTTAGACTTGGATAATGCTTTCGTTTCCCCCGGGTGTAAATAGCCGGGGGGAATTAGTACCCTCGCCCCGGGCTTACGCCCGGAACGGCGCTCCGCGCCGTTGGATCGAGGGTTAATCGTCGTTGGTCGTCTATGACTATCATGGTCATGCATAAACAGCTACGAATTAAACATGCTTAACAATGTTTCCCATTCGAATGAATTCAAATGATTTCTATATGTACGTGCCAAATATTCATAGGCCTAAATTCTGCCGCCTTTGGTCATTTCAATGTGCTAAACAACTATTGAACATATCATCAATTAAAATGCCATCTCACGCAGTCTACGTATATCGTAACGAACAGGAGAAATATTAAAATGTTGTTTTCGCCAGTGCTTTTTTGTTTGAAAGTACTCCCTTAAGGGACGGACCACTAGAAAAGTGATGGGGAGGGTGTGGAAAAAAACAGAAAAAAATCCATGCAAACAAAAAGAGTTTGAAAAAAAATACATGCATCAGATTTGTTTAAAGGGAGAAGACATATTAAAAAAACACATACATGCACAGCTGACAAACCCCCCCCCCCCCACATCACTTTTCTAATGGTCCGTCCCTAAAGGGGCAATGTCACCGATTTTTGACTATTTGAGCAATTCCGACCCTTGCAAATTTTGCCAAAAAGTGTAAGCACAAAATAAAGCAATAACAGACACAAAAAAATGTACAGAAGTCTGGATGGGCAAGATTACGCCAGGATTGAGATGGATTGTAAATAGCATCTTGATTAATTGTTGGCAGACACTTTTTCAAGTTTTAGTCAATTTTCATGAAAATGTCATGTTACATGTTGCGTGGAAGTTCAAAGTTGTTTAATATGACTCACATATCATAACTTAATCCATTTACAATGTTTATGTCTAACTTTGTAGTTCGGTTTTTAGGCATTTTAGGTCAAAATCGGTGACATTGCCCCTTTAAGGATAGAAAATTAACATAACTTACGCTTGCTGAAACAAAACACACGGATGTGGACTGTCTAGATTGCCAGCCGGTATAGAATTTGTTTTCAGTACGTGCTTTAAGAGTTTGCATGCATGCCTTTAAAACCTAGCGTTATAAGTTACTCGTATACCATAGCTTGAGTAATGCTTCTAAGACAAGTAAGGAACGAGCTGGGACATTATTGCGTACGATCCGGGACATTATTGCGTACGACATCGAGAGGCATGAGAGATTTCGCGATATTGCTGCCAACGTCCCGGAGCTCTGTGCTATAAATGTTGGAAATCGATGTGCAGCTAGGAAAGGATACAAATGCATGCGCATACGAGTTTGCATTTAGTTAATATACCCCGTACTGTATTCGTGCAAATTGCCTCTTATACAATATAACAATATAAATATCTTTCAACAGCACCCGCTCAGGCATTAAGCGTAAATACAGGTTGGGGTCTTTTGGAAAGTAAATGCTGGTCAAGCAGTTCTCCAGTTAGGTTGTGCGTTGCAGGCGATAGTTAGGCTATGGTTAGCAAGGTTCGCAATACTTCACATTAAATTTGATTAACTTTTTGCTGTATAGTAGGCTAGCTGTACATCAGATTGTGCAGTAATTTATATCAGAGGTCCTGAAGGTGTAAAATGGGAACTGGGATTGATCTAAATTTAGACTGGGAAAATGGGATTTGGGTTGGTGGGACTGAGATTTGGCCACTGGGAATGGGAAATGAAGTCCTCAAAAATGGGAATGGAATTGAGGTAATGCGAGTCGATTCCCAATTTTTCTACATTTTAAGTGTTTTAAAATACAGATTTCTAATTATGCGTGTCTCAGAATGATGCAAATGCCATTTCCGGGATTCAAATTTAAAAATTTTCTGTGCCTTTGGCACAAGCCCCCCCCCCCCCCATTATTTCATAAAGTGTCCACCTGACCACTTGCACACACGGTGGCTTAAAACTGTTTATTTTACCGATAAATAAAGGGTTGTTTATTGACTGGGATTTCAATAACTCGGACTGGGATTTCTAATGAAAATCCAACTGGGACTGGGATTTTGCCAAAATTTCAAGTGGGAAATGGGATTGGGACCCTCATATCAGGAATACAAAGCTAATCACAAAGAATTATAACGCTACGATAGCTCAACTAAAGAAACGAATATGCATGCTAATTAAACTTGCCTCAGCCAATAGAAAACGTTGAGTTGAACGAATGTGAAGATATACATGTATACAGTCGTTCAGTTATAATGAGCCTATTCGTCCGTTCTCATGTTACGGCGCAGGTTAACTATTATGTTTCATGATCAGTTGTTCAAACGATTTCACATGACTCAAAATTTATAATTATGCTTATTATCTATATGCTTATTATCTACATGCTATTAT